CCCTTTTCCTGACCTTGCTCCCTCTGGGACTGACCTTGGCCTGTCCTCCCTGACCCACTACTTACAGTCAGGCCCTTGCTTCTTGTGGGCATAGATGCCAGAGACAATGATGAGCAGCAGCAGCTTTGGGCCCAGGGTGAGAGCCAGCAGGAGTGGAGTAGATAGCCTTGGGTCTGGAAAAGAATGGACACAGGCACCATGAGAGGGGCACCCAGGAGTCCGTTCCCTGGGGCCTCCACGTACTCTCTCTGATGCAACTCAAGCTCATCAAAGCTCTGACGCTCATGAATCTCCTCCCCTGCACTCAGGCTCGAGGCAGGTTTGGGGTAAGAAGTTCCTCATCTCACTCACCACTTTCTTACTGCCAGGGTCCTTGAGGGAAGAGGTGGGGGAGGATGAGCACTCAGTAACGTGTAAGTTTGGTTTACTGATGGTCCTCACACCCATGCGGCAGGTCTATACCCTCTTTCTGATGAGGGAACAGGCTCATAGTTTATAGTGGGTCAAAGATGAGGTGGTTCAAACCCAGGGAAATCCCTCACTGCTGTCCTGCAGGACGACTCTGAGATCTTGTCTTTGGACCAAGAGAAATCCAAACTCTCAGGTCATAGGGACAAATGTCAGCCTGGCCTCAAGTGGAGTGAGAACAGGTGTCATGGTCAGGGAGGCGCAAAGCTGCCTTGTTTTGCTCCATGCACAGGGCTTAAAGACTCCATGTACAGAGGTGAGGAGGGAGGCTTCAGGATGACCTGACCTCAGGAGACCTGCTGGCTGGAAAACACCCTGGGGAGACAAGGAAATGGGGTCTAATGCTCAGGAGGGTTTCAAACACCATCCGCCCACCTGGACCCCAGGGCCAATATCAGCTGACATGGTTTATTGGATAGAGAGGTTGGATCTGTAAATACACCTTCAGATCCTTTGACTTTCTGCAATGACCCATTTTTGCTTTTATATTTGAATCAAGAAATTCAAATAAAATTTGAAATATTTGGAGTAATCTTAAAGGAAGGAGCAGAGCCCTCACCATATTTGCCCCTGGTGTGCTGGAGGATGGCAAGTCTCAGCTGGGTGGGCCACTGCCCAGACTTTCTCTCAGTTGAAAGAGCTGTATTGGCCACATTTGCACCTGCTTCTAGAGGGCAACCTATAGTAGAGGGCTGGAAGAAGTGGGGGTACAGAGGCTTAGCCAATCTTCTCTATTTAAAACAACTCACGACGAGCATTGGCACCCCAGCTCTCTGTCCAAGATTGAGTCTTGCTGGGCTGCATTGTCTTTAACATCTCCCTTTCCAGTTCTGCCTCCATCCCCCTCTCACACATGTGGATCATACAGCGCCCCAGAGTGAGCTTTCCCCCTTCTCATATCATCTGAGAGTCTGCTTCCCGAGTCACCTGATGTGCGGAGTTTGTCTAGGTGGGGTCCGGAAAGCCAGCTCTAATGGGCACATTTGGAGCAGGGTTTTTGTCAGTTCGCTGGCCAAGAGGCCCCAAGGCCTGGGAGGAGGTAGAGCAGGGTAGGTGCCAGCTTGCCCTGCTCTTGTCACTGCCGAAACCTCACCATGGTGACCTGAAATGGTGTCAGCAGAGGAGAGACGTACCCCGGCACTCTGGAAATGAGTCGGTAAGTATAAGAACTATGGGTTGGGTGGCTGTTGCTGGGCATTAATACCTCGGAGAAAGACAATGCAAAGCGAAGACTGATCACACCTGAAACGTTATGTATGAAAGTCAGAGGACTTCTGGGCAACAGTGCAGACTGTTACCTCCTAGACGGGAGGGCAGAAAAAGCCGAGGACACAGTTGGGTCCAACAAAATCATAAAGTATCAGTGCTACAGAGAGGATTGAATTCTCAGCTACATTGCATCTGCTCTACCAGAATAGAACCCTAGTGGGGAAATATGGGAGATAGATTCTGAGATGTAGGATAGGGACATTGGGCCCGAGGCTTTCGAAGCCTTCTGGGCACTAATGGGCTGCTGAGGACAACACACAGCTTAGCTACTCATCTCCAAATACGGCCTCTCAACCCAAAGGAGAAACAATAAAAGGACAATAAATTCTATGAAAACTGGCTCTCAGTAGTCCTGGAAGAGCAATGCCCAAACTGCAAAATCTCTGGGAGACCAAGGATAATAATCTCCAAATCCAAATGCACATCCCTTACACCATTCCCCTCCCACCTTCACCAACCATAGGAAAGGGCAGGAGAAAACCAGGTAGCCAAGGAGCCTGAGAATTACTTGGAAATCCCACTGCCCATATTAAATCAAGCTTAATTTAGAAAATTTGGAAACGTGTCCTGAACATCAGGACACAGATAATAGGAAGGGGTTTCAAGGTATGCCTGACTTAAGTGGTTTGGCCCAGGACCCCCAGAGTCTGTGAATATGTGGTACTTTACATGGCAGGAGAGCCTGAATGGTAATTAGTGAGGCTCTAGAGTGGGTCATTGTCCTGGACTTTCTGAGTGGAGCCAATTTAATCACAGAGACTCTCCCCAAGGAAAGAGGGAGGCAGGACAGTGGGAGCTGGAGGCATGGTGATCACAGCAGGGGTCAGAGGGTGTGGGGCCCTTGGCCAAGGGGCGGGGCTGCGTCTAGGAGCTGGAGCAGCAAGGACACACACTCTCCCCCAGAGTCCCTAGAAGGAACTCAGACCTACCACCCCAGTTTAGACTTTCATGTCTAGTAATGGATGGAATGAATGTGTGTTGCTTTAAACCACTAAGCGTATCCTAATTTTTACAGAAGCAAAGAGGCACCTAATACAAGGGGGCAGGGAAATTTTAAAAGGATAGGTGTGAATAAAAGGGACAGGCACAATTTAGAATGCATGACTTCAGGGGTAAAAGTAAAAAAGAAGGAAGAGGTGCTGTTTCAAAGTTGAGTGGTGAGGGGGAGAAGGAAAAATGGAGGAGGCAAACTTGGGGTCCTGAAAGAAGAACCAGAAAGTTCAGAGGACTCAGAACATCTGTCCCAGGGTCCAAACCAGACAACCATCCCCAAGTCCCAGTAACATACGTGGTCATGCTATACTGAGAGAAGGGAGCTCTTTTAAGCTAGAAGTCTTGTGAAAACCTCAATACCATAAACATGTCGAAAAAGATGTGCACCGTTATGCCAGACCCACTGGATCCAGAAGGGTTGGCAGTGGTTGGAGCCCTGGAATGGCCAGGGGAGGCTGTGAATCCCGGCACAGCAGGATCGCATAGGCATCCTGGGCATAGCTCCAGCTGCCAACACAGACAACCCTAAAATCTATTCTCAGCCTTAGCACACTGGAAGATTGCTAGTTCAGGCATCCTGGAAGCACCAGAAGTAATGGCTATGGTCTGAGTCCCAGTGAAAGACCGAAGACTAAACACCAAACCCAAACTGGTCCATAGGAGAATGTGTGGACTGATCTCTCCCTGCTCTCCTCGCTCAGAAGAAGCCTGCCCCTGGAAAACACATGAGGTCCAAGCATGGAGGAATCTGAAAGGTGGAAGAGGAAGGCAGGTGGGCTACATCCTTCCATCCTGGAGGAAGAACACACACCAGGTATTGTGGCTCCACACTCCTGACTCCCCAAGCACAGAAGGAGGCCCAGTCGTGGCATTCGAACAAAGAAAAGTCTAGATTCAATAACCTTTGTTCCCATTTCAAAAAGTGAGGAGGAGCAAAACAAACTCAAAGCAAGCAGAAAGAAATAAAAAAGAGGAAAAAAGGCAAAGGAATTAAAAACAAACAATAGAGAAAATCACTGAAACAAACCTGGGTTTTTTGAAAGCACTGAGAAAGTTGGAAAAGTTCTAGCAGTCGTGACGATGAAAAAAATGAGAACTGACACATTTCCAATATCAGGAATAAAATGGGATATCACTGAAAACCCTACAGACATCACAAAGATAACCAGGTAATATTATGAGCAGCTCTATGAGCAGAAATTGGACAACTCAGAGAAAAAGGACCAAATTTCTCAAAAGCACAGCCTACCACAAACATCCAATATGAAATGAGGAATTTGAGTAGCCCTAGCTATTCAGATTCTTCTCAAATCAAAAAACGAATGGTGGAGATGCAGGTGTTTCACAGGAAAAGTCTTTTAAGCCCTTACAGGTGAATTAAAACCAAGTTAGGTCCACAAAATAAAGTTAATAGAAGATTTGAAAAATCGGAATATATACTCCATTTTAGATGATATTAGGAATTATTAATTTTCCTAAGAGTGTAATAGTATTGGTTTTATAGAAAAAATAATGTCATTAATCACATGACCACATAATTGTTGACTCCATTTGAAACTGGAAGTGCATCCATGACTAAGCCATTATTAGACACAATTATGCAGTTTCTGCATACCGCTAGTTTTAAGAGAAATCGTTCATTTTCGCCTTCCCCTCTCTATTGTCCCAGCCAGCAGGGACATGAACACTCGTTGACCCAGTGTTGACCCAGGCATGAGGACAATGTCATAGGGCATGTTAGAAGGAACATGGGCCTTTGGAAGAACTTCTGGAACAAAGACTCCTGGAAACCTGGCTCGACCTCCTCCTGATGTTACATGAGAGAGAAATAAGGA